TTCGGATAAACTGAATTTTATGTCAAATCGTGTCATATTGAGGTTAGGTGTTTTTTGTGTGTACAGTATTCATTCATAGATCCTATTACGTAACACTGCATACTTTGAGATGTTAAGCACAAGAACAATGAATCATGTAACACACACCGTAAAGAATCGACGATTAACGTTCCGATTATGATTTTTTCACTCAATTTAAAATCAGCTGTTTTATATTGAATTGAATTTACATGACATATACATCATGTGATGTGCAATATGAGTATCTGAAAATGAAAATGACTTAACATACCATGGTCAATTTGAATGTATCAACAATTTTTATTATCAAAATAGCACAAAAAACTACGAAAATGTTGAAATCACTTAAAATTGCGAAATGGATTATAAATTGTATTCACAATCGAAGTGTATCATAATTTCTTAGTTGGCCAATGACTTCACGATGTTATTTTATTATTAGAAAGTGTATGTCACATCTTAATCGTAACAAAAAAGTCTTGATACATTTGTGTTGACCAAGAATTAAGAATTCATTGTCGTTCTTGGCTACAAATATCTACCATTTTCTATTTCATTACATTGTTACCGAATTACCAAAATTTTATATAAACCTGAAAACAGAATACAAATATGGTAAATGTGTACGCGAAATGACCGCACATGCGCTTTTACTTCGAATCGATTTGTGCTCTATACTGAATCATTTATGATTATGATTTTACAATTTTAGTCTATTGGAGATGTTTGTTTGTTTTTTTTTGCCACACATTTACAAGTTCACGTGCGTTTGTATGTGCAATGTTTTTATTTTATTGTACTCCTCAAATGTTTCAGAAACATTTCGATATTTGAATGTCATTGAAATATTCGTATATATTGTATTAGCACATACCATTATCGTGGAGAAAAAAAAATTATAAAAGAATTTATTACGAGAATTAGCACAGCTAGATACGTAAAGGAAGTGTTTAGTTTCCAGTAAATTAAATTTAAATAAAGTTCGGCAACAATTGAAGCAAATGCAGTGTGTTAATTTATTGAATTTTATGGACGACTAGAAAAAAGGGAAGTAGAAAAAAGTAAAAATATTGTTGGTGACGCGAACTCAAAATCTGAGGTGTTAATAAAACGAATAATTCATTTAACGTGATATTTTGCAATGAACTGGTGAGAGATGGTTTCGATTGAAGGAGATTGACATATTTGTATTTTTTTCCTTTTGAAAAACCAAAGAATTATCTTGCAACAGTCCTTCAAAAACAAAAAAAAAAATACTTATTTTATAGAAAAAAGGAAATGGAAAAAATTCGAGGTAACTGAATAAATAATATGTGAAGCACGCCGTTCTTTTTCTTCTCATTTTTAAAATCTTATTTAATCTTTCCTCTTGTCGCTCTTCTATCGCGAAATTTCTGTTCGATATCGAAGTCGATGGAGCAAATGGCATTCGATTTTCAACACGTAAAATATTTTCGTCGGGAAATGGATTACCGTTTAATGGAGCATTTACCAGCACTGCTGCATCAGAATCAATTTCCCGTATTCCAAAGACAGATATCAATCCGAATAAGGCTATTTTTACAATTGATTCAAAGTCGTCAAATATTTTAATTGTAAATAATAAAGCATGCGAATTGCTTGATTATCGTCCAAGTGAACTATGTGATATGCAATTTTTATCGTTATTGACAAACAAAACAAATAAGAAGAGTTATGTGTCGGCATTGGCAGAAGGTCAGCTCAATACGACCGATGGCACCATGGTGCTGCTTAGTGGAAAAGTTGTTGAAATGACAACCAAAAAAGGATCAAAAGTAGCTGTTAGTTTATGGATCCGACAAATTGATGCAGATGTTGGACGGATGCTGTGTGTTGCAGGTTAGATTTTTCTAATTAAAACAATAAAACATACTGATTATTCCATAAAATATTTATTGCATACCCAAAAACAGAACCAGTACAACGTCGCATCGCTCAGATTGTTGTGGATAAAAATGGCAAAATTATATCTACTGATGATGAAACATTTATGTTATTTCAAATTGATACCGATGAAATTTATGGATCCGATATTCGACATTTGATTCCAGCCATTCAATTGCCTAATGCAGAAAACTCATCGAATCATAAAACAATATATAAGCAAAAAGCGACGGGTAAAGCCAAAGATAATTTAAGCTTTCCACTGTGTCTAATGATTGCGCCAAAGACTGAGGCTGAATCAGCAGCAACGAGCGTTTCCTCAGACTGTGGCATTGGTGGCGATTCAATACCAAATACGTATGTGATAACAATCTGGGTCTTTCAAAATATTAGTGGCTTAGTGGTAATTGATGATGAAATTTCTTAATTCTTATTGATTCTTTTTCGATTATAATCGATTATTTTCGATTATTCACTAATCATTTTTTGATTATTCGTTCTTTTCTTTTGTGATTCTCCCCTTAGGTAATTGATGAGAGTGGTTCAATAGAATTGTGTAACCATCATTTTTCAATGCTTATGTTTGGATATGCACAATCGAAAATAACACAATTACACATTACAAATCTTATTCCAAACTTCGCACAAGAGCTGGAATATCTTGACATTGGCGACTGGTAACTTTCATTTTGAATTTCAATTTATTGTTCGAATCAAGAATATGAAGACTTTTTTGAAATCTATTATTTGTTTTTTGTTTTTTGTTTTTTATCGCAATGTTAGGAACTGCAATGGTCGAAGCCGTAACATAACATTTTCTTCAATGGATAACGAATCTGAAACGGAAACTGATCCAGTTTATTATGAAGCAGAATCATTCTATGCCACTCCGGTTGGTACTACATCTAATCATAGCCGTAGCAAATCAACTAATGAGAATGAAAATTCAATCTACGAAATGTCTAGTTCAGTGAATAAAATTAAAATTCCATTTACATCGAAAGCAATTAGCGAACCAATAGATATACCAAAATTAGATTCACTTGTGCAACGATTCAATGTAAATGATGTGGCTGGCTTAAAAAATAAAACACAAATAGTCGGTAAGGTTGAAGTGACCAAATTTCTTACCAGTAAACATGCTCAGCGTATCAGAATTTTTTTTCCAAATTCCTA